TTTGTAAAGAAAGCAAGATTCTTGAAAAGGAAAAATATACTCATCATTCCAAATTGCTCCGAAGGTCAGCAATTGTGTCGCTGCCACAGCCAGCCTTTCTGCTGAGACAATCCTGTCTCACTTCTCAGCAGCAGCTCTCAGCTCTGAAAAGTTATTGAAAATGAGGGTAAAATCAAACTGCAGGAAAACCAGCAGCCTGCTCATTAAGCTTTCACATATCTTTCATCCTCATTATTCCAAAGGCCTTTATGTTATTTCAAGATGACTTTTAAGGCAAGCTAACTAATGTGGGTAAGGTAGTGGTTATAATTTCTTACTAAAATCTGTTCAGTGATGTTATTCTGGGGTTATTTTAATGAGAGTTGGACATAAAATATGTCTTGGCTTACATTATTGAACTGCATCACACCAAATCACAATTCCTGCATAATGTCTTTTGGAAGGCATCCTTCTTCAATCTTCAGAATTATAGCAATAAAATTGCACATTACTTGTTTAATTACCAGTAAGCCAATGGATTAAAGATAGATCTATCTGCCCACTCTTATTCTGCTGTATTCATGCAAAGTGTAAGTTTAAATCAGTGCTTTTCTGGAGCTGCCAGCCACCAGATTTCTAGTAATCTCTTACTTGCATACACCATCCATATTTTACCCAGCTGCCTGCAGAAACCAGCTGAAGGAAGAGAAGCAGAGTCTTTTACAAACCTTAATATTTTTGGCAGCAGAATTGCTGTCATGTTATGCTAGGTTTCACATCTTAGGCTCTACTGAGGCAAAATTGGGAAGTAGAGGGAAATATGGAGAAAGTAAATTAATTTTGAAATCTTGCCTTTTATAATGAGCTATGTAAATGATACTAAGAATGTTTTTGGTGTCATCATAGTGCACACTAAAGAATACAAATGAAGGAAAAATAAATCAGTATGAGTGCAGGATAATTTCCAAACTCTACTTCTGCATCCAATGCCACCTGTGGGTTAAGATGATTTAAAGCTGCATGTATCATAATGATGGTTTGAAAATATGTTGTCACCCCACAACTTACCTTTATTTCTTTTTCTCTCTTCCTTCTGCAGATAGACAATGCAGCTTTCTGTGCCCCAAAATTTGCTGTTTTCACTTGTTCTTAGGCAGATTTTAGGAGTCTCCTTAGGTTGGGATTGTATAAACACACATCAGTGTTGACCATCAGATTATGAAATATATTTACACTAAGTGCAAAACAAAATCTCTCACATCTTCCTCTGGCCAAGCCAGGATTTCAGACTCTCTGCTTTGTGCAGAGGCTGAGACAAAGTTACAGCAGTGGATGCAAAAGTGAGATAATCACTTATGTTAGGGCAGGAGAGAAGGGAAGCTTCTATAAAGTAAACTATATTTATGGTGTGTGACTGTTCCTTCAGATTTCTGAACAAGATTTCTGAACATTTTTAACCTCCCCAGTATTTTATCCTTCTCACTTTGCTCTGGCAGAGGTACATATTTCCTGTCCAGGATGTACCATCCTTTAGAAAAGTTCAATTTTTAAAAAAATGTTTTCAGTTTTATGTGGTCCCACCAGAAAAAAAAAAAAATTAAAACGAAAAAATTTAATCTGGCAAAGTGAATGTATGTGAGAGAGCTCAAGCTATTGTTGTGGAAAATGCTGGCTGATATATGGATCACAGGGATGAAATTCCAATGTAGAGCATGCTGAATAGACAAGGCAGGGAAGCAGGTTGTGCCATGTCAAGGTTTTCTTCTGAGGTTGCCACAGGGGAGCCAGGTGTGCTGCAGATAGTCCTACAAATGAGAATTTAGGAGTCCTACTACTTGCTTACTACACTCAGATAATGCCTAAATTATATTTTGAATGGTTTATATTAAGGGAGATATTTCATGCACCTTCACACGCCTGCCAAAGGAAACATTCCCAAAACAGGAAAAGCATCAGTGAGAGGAACCTCTTCAGGAAAAATGAAATTTCCGTGGTCCTTTCCCCTCTGAGTGGGGTGGCAGAGGACCTGCAAGAGGAACACCTGATACAGAGTGTGTGGCACAATGCTGCATGTTCTTCTTGTGGGAGCAGCAATTCAGGGCCCCCACCTCCAGCACCCAAATAAGTCACACATTCTGTGGGCAGACAAAAATAGAAGCACACTAACAACCTGGCAGGAGCATCTCTTGAGTTGCAGTGAATGTTTCAGTATTGCAGTTGTGGCTTTTTATCAAAATTAGTTGTTGTTTTTGGTTGTGGTTTGTTTTTTGGTTTTTCTTTCCTGCAAGGCTGCCTTTATTTACATTATTTGAAATGGATGTAAAGTTTGGAACTGAAGTACATGTAAATATTAAACATAATTATCTTCAAGTCTCCATTTTCAAAAAGGGCAAGCAAAGCAAAGCAAGTCAAAGCGATGGAAAATATTTTAATGGCCTTGGCTCAGAAAAAAGCTTTCTTTGAAGGGCACTAAAGGAACTTTCCCATTAAGTACCTGGAGCTGCAAATTCACCCCATTACCAGTGTTGTAGGAAATGACTTGAAATACCAATGCCTTATGGTATTTATTGAAGAATTTTACATTATTTTCATTCAAAGGCATCTGTGAAGCATAATATTTTCAAATCAAATAAGAGTCTTGGAGTTTGCCATCTCTGGGAATGGAAGCCAGGATATGATGCACTCATTGCAAACCCTAGTAGAACTGACTCTATAGCATCTGTGAAAACTAAAAGTCACACCCAAAAACTTGAGATGCCCAAAGCAAAGTTAAGGGAACTATATGAATGTAGTACTGAAATCACAAACTCTCTCTGGCTAATGACTGCTGGAATTCAGAGGACTGATTTCCTGACTCCCAGCTTGGTCAGAGGCACCTCAGGGTTTTTCCATCTTATTTCCTGGATCCTGCTTTAACCTTACTGGGACCAGCTCCTAGCAGTAGCACTGCCTCCTCTGAGGTCTAGCTCATGGCAGCAGCACCCAGCTTTTACATGTCCATAAAATGTCACCTCGGATTACTTGTTCATTTTTTTTAATCCAATAGTTACATAATGTAAAATGTATATAAAGTGATAGGAGCAAACCTTCCCTTCCTTGGGAGTTCCTTCATTTGTAGATTTATGGATTTATAGAGTCTCATTGTTGTATGATAGCTTTTCCTCTAAAAGATGAATCATTCATTTTGTTTTTGCAGACTTGCTGGGTTTCTTAGAGCTGAGTGGATAACATTTTTTTCCACAATGAGGATTGTTTAAAGGGAAGTGTGTGATGACGAGTTTCTTCCTGACAAAAAGGTACTCCCAGGAAGAACACCAGCTTGCCTGGATCATAGAGCAGCAGTGCTGCAGAAATGTGTTACTGAGTCTGCAGCACCTTGTGTGATCTGAGAGTGCTTAAAGGCAAAATATAAAGCTTTTGTCCAATATTATGAAACCTCTATGTCAGAAATCTTCTGGGAATGCAGTTCAGCATCTTTTGTCAAGTCTCATCATGAAACTTCCAGACAAGGAGGGGTTTCTAAACCTTGTGAATTATTCTTCCAGAAGTTGCTTCCTGTAGCAAAGGGGCCCCAGGATACCCTTTCTGAAGCTCATCTAGAGAAACAGATCCTGAGGAAGGAGAACAGGGAGCTGAAAAATCCTTCCTGAAACATTCTCCTGCAGAAGCAGAGAAATACCATGTTGTGAGATTAATGGATTAATAGAGCAGACAGCTTTGTGACTTACTGAGGCGTGTTCTTGTGTAAATACTCTGTTAAGAGATGTGCAGGCAGCTGAAATAATGGTCACCTTCCCTCAGAGAGTGTGCCAGGCCTATGTCCCTAGATAGCTCTGGTTACCTGCAAAGGACAAGGTTCTGAGGGAGGCATGGATGGAGGTTTCGTGTGACAGCAGGAGGTGTTTTCCTCCTTGTTTACATTTGTGTGTGGTGCCTTGGAGTTGCCTACAACAGAGTCGCGACAGAGTTAAGAGAATAAAGGGGGTATTCATTAAAGGCCTTAAATAGATACACCTTTGGCAGTGCAAAAGCCTAGCAGAGGCTACACCCAAGATAGATGGTGGTCATGAGCTTTTCACACAATTATAAGTTTGGTCTATTTGCATATCTGGGTTGATTCTGCAATTACAGCTTCAGGTAATGAAGTCACAATCCCCTAGTTTGCTCCTCTCAGATTCATTTTTGTTTATACTTTTTGGAATCTGAGGCCTGGAAGGATTGTTGTGTCTGACCAAAATGTCAAGAGAGCTTACTAACACTCTACGTGGAGTTCAGAGCTATCCACTAATGCAGCACAGGACCTGGAAAACAGAAAGGCTAAAATCTTAATGCATCACATAAAGCATGAGAAGCCAGGTGATGAATGGTCCCAAGCCAGACCACCCATGGGGTGTCCACAGAATGACAATCTCTGCACTGTGGTGACCTGGGTGGCAGCTCTGCATCATTTCTGCAAGCACAGTTTGTCCTGTTACGTGCACAAAACCGCAGTCCCACGCTCCACGAGGTTGACCCTGACAACCACAATGCAGCTGACACAGTTGATGTTTAAAAATAAAAGATGCCTCCACGGGAAAATCCTCATGGGTCAGAAAAAGGAAGATATTTCTGGTGAGCTTCAAACCTATTGTCCATAGGAGAAGTCTGAAAGAAATATGAGAGAATAATATCCTGTGTTCTTTCTCTGGTCCGTGAAAATACAGACTATCTGAAAATTGAACTTCACTGTTAAAGGACAGAGCAAATGACCAACATAAAATGGCTTGGGGTCTTAGTGTGAGAATATTCCTATTTGTCTGCTTTTAAGTAGAAACTCTCAGTTAAAAAAAAAAACAAAACAAAAAACCAAAACCAAAAACAAAACAAAACAACCTCACATTTTTTAATCAGTCTATCTGACTGACATTCTAAAACTGACTTTATTTTTCTCATGGGAAAGGGAAACAAGGACCTTTTTGCTTTAGTCATGTATTTCCCCCTCAAAATAAAAAGCAGCTAGGTCAAGAGCAGCTTTAGTACATGGAAATGAGTAAAGCTCCCAAGGCAAAAACACCTAGAGAGAAGTCCAGGAGTTAAGCAGCAAATGTTACTGACTATACCTCTCCCATTGCATGGTCAGATAATTTCTAAATAAAGTACACCACTGGCATCCTACTATCCACTATATTTTAAGGTAAGGGATTACAGAATTTGCCTGCAGACCATAAATCATCATCAGTATTCAGAATGACTGATACAAGTTGTTGTTAATTGTAGTTGTTAATTGCAAGTTGTGTTAATTGCAGTTAAACAGAATACTGGCAACAATCAATAGAGTAGAAGAGAGATGCAGCTTTTTGCTCTGATTTTGCAGAGATATGAGAATAGCTTGTGGGATTTTTTTAATCTTTTTGTTGGTGGGTTTTGGTGGGTTTTTTTTGGTTTTTTTTTTTTTTTTGGTGCACCTTTTGAATGTTAATATTCTGCTGGAGAAGGTTTCAGACAGTCTGCAGGGTGGCTGCTGTACTCAGCCAGGCAGGATCCTCTGCAAAGCTTCACAGCTGAAATTATAGCCTTGCTTTAAGAAAACGACAGCACTGTGAGCTAATTGCTTCTTTCACAGAAATAGAATTTTCAGTTGAGTTCATGGGGCTTTTTTGTGCAAAATTCTAAGCCTTAAAAATGCAGATTTCTAACTTGTGTATTCATAATTCCTTTGACAGTCCCTGATATTTATGTTTAGAAATACAGGTGCAGAAGAATGGAAACTAAAGATTATTGTAACTACTCCAACTGCTGTGGGAAATGGTTCAAGTTCCTTCACAACTAGATGAAAGTATCTGTTTCACAGAAGTTGTCTAATGTTCTTCATTTATGTAATAAAGCTATGACTGTCTATTATGTCCTATATAGCAGGGCAGAATACTGATATCAGGCTTAAAAATAGCAATAATTAAATGAATGTCTACTGACTATCTTGTTGTGTATTCTTTGTCTATCTTGTGGAAAGTATATTGCAGTTCATCTTTCATTGATGCCAAAAAGCATAGTATAAAACCCATTCATTTCAATTTTCAGCTGCAAACATTGTTTTGGTGTGGATCTGTGGCTGGTAAGATAACAAGTTTCCAGCTTGCTGATTCATCTGGATGTCAGCTATGTTGGTACCTCTAAAAGATTTAGCAATTTTGGTTATGTTATTAAGAGTACACATTTAAGGTATTTGCTGTGGAGAAGGGTTTCAGGGCTGGTGTCTGTTGTGCCTGCAAATGCACTGAGTAATTCAAGCTTTTAGCATAACCTTGATTTTTTTTTAAGTATAAATCATCCTCACACACCTTGCGTAGATGAATTCAAAATATTTTGTGCAGACATTTGCACATTAAAGGGGAGTTTGCATTTTAAACATTTCACAGTGCATTAAGTAAAATGGTATTGGGGAGGGTCTACAGCAAAAAGAACAGATCAGTTTCTAGCACTGTTTTATTGTTGAAATTAAATCCATCAACTTCCGTTAGCAATGCCAACACTTGAATAGTGCACCGATAGGCTTTTTTAGCACAGAGATCTGTCTTTAAAAGCTGTTCAAAGAAGGAGAATTTGTGCCTGCAGGAGGAAGGTAATTTCAGCCTGGCATCAAATTTTCAAGAAGAAAAGGATGATGCACAGGTGAAAAGGGCATTGCTGGTGTATCCATTTAGACTGTGCAGCAAACTACACTGCAGGATACCTTATGGAGGGATGTAATTTAATTTGTTAGCCTGGTGTTTTCTGTACTCACAAAGTTTTGTTTAGTTAAGGTAGGTTTAAAATGTCAGTCACAGCAACTGAGGTGTGAGTGAATGGAAACATCTTTGCCCAGTTTGTGCACAGATGTTTGAGCCTGAAGAAACTTGCCATGTGTTTTTGTAGCTAAGGAAGTGAGTAATCAGTGAAACTAGTATGGGTGGTATAGGAAAATCATGCACATGGTCTTGGCACAGCTGTGTGCTTGCTAAATTCCATGAGATATTTCATAATGGAAAACCAATTGCTCCACTAATATAGGATACCTGCATATCAGGATCATGTTGTGGAGCACCCAGCGATGTCGTGGGACTGGACAGTTCCCTCCAGTCCATCTCAGGTGAAAGAGAAGGGCAAAAGAAGTCCCCACGTGTCAACTTAAAAGAGAGAGACGAACATCCTCTTGGTTGCGGTTATTGCTTAATTGCAATTTTTATCAGCAAATTTTGAAAGGCCAAAACATGTAAGTGGTTATTAAATCAGCAGAACTGTGCAAAGACTTGCAGTGGTAGGATCTTTGAGTCTCCTTAGCAAGACTGCAGGCCCCTGTGCCTCAACTGGTTTTCTGCTGATCACATTCCTCCTTTGAACTTGCTGGTTTCAGAGGCTTATCTATTTCTTGCTTGTAATTTACACAGAACATTGTGCAGTGAATGCCCTATCAAGAAATAGCAATTAGTAGGCGCTGCCAGTCCATTGTTAATGTTTCTACTTAAAATATTTGCTTGAGTGTGTCACATTTCAGCCTGGAAGCCTTCAACAGTTTCTGGAGCTACCAGTATGTCACCATTGTTAATCTCTGTGTACCTCTGATTATATTGGGGCAAATTATGGCAGCTGAAGGTCAGCTCCAGAGCTTCTGTGTCTCAGAGAAATGTGTGGTGTATTGCAGCAACATGGCTGGAGTGATCCACAAGTATTAATAGCTATTATCCCACTCAGGTGTTTAGCCTGATCCCAAAAGGAAAATAATGGACTGCATGTGCTTATCACTGACTAATTAACTACTTTTATCTTTTTGAAAATCAGGTTACTTCAAAACTGGAAAGATACTCTGTACAAAACTTTGTCTATTCTAAGTTTTGCCATTTAAAACCAGTGTATCAAAAGCTGATCTTTCCTGGCACTCACAGATTTTCCATGTGCTGCACTTTTCTCCCATGGTTGTTAACTTCATTCAGATAATGCCTAGAAAAAAATGCCAGGAAAACCTTTCCTGAAGCAGATTGGCCTGTGAAAGCAAGCACAGTTACTGTCTTGTGTGATAACAGCTTCAAGAATTACTTTTAACTGTGTATGATGTGTATATAATGCTGAAATAACATTAAAGGCTGTGACATAATGTGTGTGCTGAAAGCTTCCTGTAGCCAGAATATCAGAGGTCTTTTAGAATTGGGCACCACCACCTTTGGCCACAGTGGTACACTGTCTCCATTTATATCTTTCTTCTTTTTCAATAGCAATGTTATTTATCACAATTCTGTATTTCCTTCATCAGGTGGGCAACTTCTCAGGTGAAAAAAAACAAACCAAACCAAACCAAACCAAACCAAACCAAACCAAACCAAAACAAAACAAAACAGTCTCTTTATTAAACTGGTTATTCCTAAAGTTTTATCGCCTTCTATTATTCAGTCCTCTGCAATTTTATCAGTTGGTGGCTGAGCCATTGCTTTTACTGAGGTTTATAAATCTTTACTGCCCCCAGTCTCATGAAATGTCTCATGTAATCCTGTGAATGTTTCACCTTTGTGTGCTTCATGCTGCTTTTTTGTTCTATTTCTTTTCCTTCCTCCACCCCTAAGACAATGTTCAGCTGACGTAGCCCTGTTCTTCAACCACTTTTGAGGCATTTCTTTTCCTGGGAATACTTTGCAAGTAATTTCAGAGGTGCCAGTGACCGGGCCTAGACTGACTGTGGCATCCAGCATTGCCTCCTTCCTGCTGGAGGGAAGATCCAATATTCAAGGGAGGAGGAAATGAAGGTGGGCAGACACTCAGACAGACATTTTAGGGAGCAGACATGCCAGGCAGGCAGTAGCACAGCATATGCTCTGCTCTCTAGAAACAGCCAAGCTGAATCCCAAATCCTGGCAATTTTCTTTATGTGTCAGATCTGGTGATATAAAAAATATTTTCTTGCTAACTGTGTCTGTAAGTCTGACACTGGTTTTCAGTAAGAAGAGGAAACATTTGACCTTGAACTAAACTACTATTTGACTTACTTCAGGCTTCCTTCCAAAATCTTTTCTCATTTCAAACAAAAGTTATTTATGCTCTGGATAAATGCTGCAGTGCTGCAAGCACTGAGTGGCTGCTGCCTTCCATTGTGAGGGGCACATGAATTTTGTCAGCCGGCAGCAGATCCTGGTCCATCCCACATCCAAACATTTTTGGTCATTGTGTATGAAACCATGGCTACATTTGCTTTTCTAGCCTCTCCCCCACCAGCTTAGAGGAAGATCAGCTGCAGTTCATCCATCCTGCAGCAATGCTCTTGCTTAAAGACTAGAATTATGGAGGTTTATTTAGCGCCCTGACAAAGAAATATCCCAGGATGTCTCATTATTTTGTTTCTTTTTCATGTTTTTCCAAATATTGCGGCAGTTGCAATGCATAAATATGCACAAAATTATTTTAATTAAATAAAAAAGCAAATTAAGTTCTTGAAAGTAGATTAATTAATATTCTCACTGTGAAAAATAGAATAGTTTGTGTTAGCAGAACACTTCAGAATTGTTCAGAATTGGAACAATATGTACTATATATAATCTCTCACAAAAAGCTAAGAGACACTAGAGTACATAATCTCTTTTTACAGAAACAAGAGTCTGTAGAGAAAGGTCTAATTTGGTTTTTCAAGCTCCGAAGTCTCTTCTTACTCTGTATCCAAACACAAATGAGGAAGTGTCCCATTCCATAAGATTGAAAGGTCTAAAACACTTCCAGAAAAAAAAAATTCTCTGTTTTCCCATGTATTCAATAAGATGCTCTTTCTTAGCAATAAGCAGTGATTAATATTAGTAAATCACCGTAATCTTTGTTGGAAGTGATATGTAATTATTTTGGTCTATCTTTGTCTTTTTCTGCCCAAACTAATTTCTACTGAGACTATTTTTCGTTTTGCTCTTTCAACAGCTTATGCAAATTAATTTCAGTCTTGCATGTGTTTCAAGCCCTGTGTTTCCACCATTCACTCAGTCTGTTTATATGACTGAAACATTGGTGCTAAGAATCCACAAATAACCACCGTGCACCTTTATCTAGAAATGTCTTTGAAAGCATTTCTACTAGGAAGATCCATCCCTGGAAGTCAATGTAAACAAAAACATGTCTGCAGGACAGATCAGGGAAAGGTTGTAAAGATTGCTTAAAAATTAGTAGATATACTTGAATTCCAAGTGGATATTTGCAAGCATTGTTGAGCAGCATTGGAACATTATAGCAGTAACAGCATCTGCTGTCCTGCCAGGAGGGAAAAAAAAAAAACCACACTGCACACAGATGAGTCTTGAAAAAGATCCCAGTGATGCCAGGCTTCGTAAACATCGTGAAGTGGGGAGGGAAGGCACATGCTGCCTGTTTTCAGGCAAAGTTTTGGATGCAGCTGTTTTGCTCATCCTCTAATAAAGCCAAGCAGTTGGGAGGCTTTCCTTGATGCTTTGGCTGGCAGCCTGCGAGGGGACAGTCAAAGCCAGCCCTGTGGCTGGTACAGCTGGGGCTCTGCTGACTCATCCCAGCCGAGGCTCTGGCTCTCGCCGTGGCACTTGCAGTTATTTATTTCCCTTTGCTGCATGTCCCATCCATCGGGTAAAGGTTGCTGCTATTTGCAGCAGAGGCAGCGAAAGGAGGGGTGGCTCTCCACAGTGGCTATCACAGTTCACAGCAGGGCAACCAGACCCCAAAAGCAGCTCCCTGATGAGCTGGCATAAAGGAGCTGGGCTGTGACTTGCAGCTCGCTGCAGGGCTGATAACCTTTGGCAGAAGGTAACCTCGGCAGGAGGGGACAAGAACACAGCCACCTTCTCCAGCAGCCAGGAGGTACTGGCACTAACTGCATCACTGTTGGTGCCAAGATGCCCAGATCATAGCAAAGTGAAGCTCTCAGGTAATTTCCCAAAGGCAGTGACAGTGTGGTGTACAAGAAATGTTCCTGTTGGCGCACTAAATGCTGCCTAAAGCCATGTGT